GGCAGGATGCTGTGAGAGATACTTTACTCAGGAAGCCAACTTTGCTGGTCCAGTGAGGCCTTCTTCCAAGTTAGTCAGTTTATAAGCACGAAGCCCTACTTCCCTCTGGGAATTCTTGGAATTCATCATGTCCTGTCCTGGTTTTTTTGGTGACACGCTTGACTAGGGTAAACTTACAAATGTTTCAAAAGTAAAATCATTATGTAGCTTCCTTATATGGAAAAAGTTGTCATCTGAAAAGATACCTAATTAATCTCAAGCCAGGTGAGCCATCTCCTCCTGGGCCCTAATTTGTATACTGGTAAGGTTATTTGAAAATGATTGTTTTTTGGAACCACTAACACGTAAATGAATAAGATATGTTTACCGGATGTTTTTAAAACTTGCCTGCCAGAAAAGTTTAAATCCTATAGAGAGGGATGCAGAGGGGTGGGCAGGTTTGAAAACTCTTGGAATTGTAGAGTCATAGAATGCTCTTATAGAACTGAAAGAGCTGCAGGTACCCTTTAATCTATTACAATTTTTTATGAAGTAAAATTACTGTAATGTGATAACTCTTCCTAAGTGCTGAGATATTTTTAACAAAGTTTTTGTCAGTTTGAGGCAGAATGAGAAAAATGCAGTTGCAATGAGCTTTTCATAAAGCTATGTGTGTTCAGTTTGAAGACCTGTTACTCTGAAATGATATGTTTTCTAAATTTGAGGGGTTAAATGTCTGGTCTTTTATGAAATGATGGTAACAGTAGATAACTGGGTTTTGGGTTTTTTTTTTTTTTTTTTTTCCTGAGACAGTGCCTCACTATTTCGCCCAGGCTGGTCTTGAGCTCCTGACCTCAAGCAATCCTCCTGCCTCAGCCTCCCCAGTAACTGGGATTACAGGTGTGAGCCACTGTGCCTGGCAATGGTTGTGTTTTTTTAAATAAATACCTTTATTTTGCCCAGGCACGGTGGCTCATGCCTGTAATCCCAACACTTTGGGAGACTGAGGAGGGAGGAGCAGCCAGGAGTTCAAGACCAGCCTGAGAAACATAGTGAGACCCTGTCTCTATGAAAAAAATAGAAAAAATTATTTGGGCATGGTGGTGCACGCCTGTAGTGCCAGCTGCTCAGGAGGCTGAGGTATAAGCATTGCTTGAGCTCTAGAGTTCAAGGCTGCAGGATTCTTACCGCAGGTGTAGTGAGCCGTGATTGCACCACTGCACTCCAGCCTGGGTGACAGAGCAAGACCCTGTCTGAAAAAAATAAATTTTAAAACCATCTTTATGAAAAACAAATTTGGCAACCCCATGTCTTTCCCTGTATCTGTCTTTGTAGAGGTGTGTCTTACTGGCCATTAGGATGGAAATGTCTAGGAATACACTGAGCTAGCGTATCCACCCTGTAACAGTGGATCTCGACTAGATGGAGTCCAGAGGGAAGATGGCAGATCCTCCCCTGCCTGGGATCCTGTCTGGAAGGACAGAGGAAGCATCAACTGGAATGGCAGTGGTCTGGAGTTTTGAGTCTTGCAGCTGCCCTTGCTTAATCGGCCGACTCAGCTACACTGCCTTTGAGGGAGTCCCTTGAGAGGCCAGGCACACAGTTTCCAGGGCTGGGGCCACTCGTCACAGACAGAGCCTTAAAGCAATGATTCCCAAAGTTTGCGGCTTGCTAGAATCACCTGGAGAGCTTTTTAAATAAAATCCTCATGCCCAGATTCACCTATATCATTAAATGAGAATGCCCGAGGGCCACAGCCAGAGTCAGTAATTTGGGAATCTCTGCTTTGAGTGTGCAAGGCAGAGCTTCATGCCTGAGTGGAACCACTGCACACTTCCAAGAGACAGATGGTGTGAACCTATGGATTAAACAGAGGGGAAAAAAGATGCATGGTTTTCTGTTTTATAGTCATGTTTTGGTAGTGCCAGCCCTACTGGGCCTGACAGTTTATCTCCAAAGAATAGTGACCTGCCATCTCTCTGCAGGGACACAACACGAAAGCCCCTGTAACTTGTACAACAAATGCTCCAGATAACTGGAGACCCCCAGGAATGGAAGTCACCATGAGGCTCCACTGCATTTGACCCTTCCTCCCGATTTCCTGCACGGAGGGTCAGCCTCAGAGCTGGTCACGCAGCCACTCTTGAGGTTACAAACTACAAAGCAGACATTTGCAGCCAGCACATAAGTGTCAGTTCAGGAAGAGATGGACACAGAATTGGGGAGACACGTACCGCAGCCACTCCTGTGTTTGTTGCTATCTCTGAACCTTGTTCCTCCCCTCCTCTCTGAAGGGACCCTACTTCAGGGACTTCCCCAGCACCCAGAGTCCCGAATTTTCAACAGCCTTCCTGTGGTCCCACAGATGGGGACGTCCTGCTGCCTGTCCCTCTCCTGCCGGGACCACCGTGCCCCCACTGAATCCTCTGTGGGGTAGGAAAGCCTCCTGCAGCCCCCAGCGGCCTGTGGTCAGTGATACTGCTCCCCGGCGGCCTTGAGCACCTGAGGCCCTGACCGTCCTTGCCCCTGGAATTCTCCTGTCCCCTGCTCTTCTGCCATGGTGCTGCTCTCTGGGCCTCCCTTGTCAGGCTCTGCCGTGGTCCTGTTACGGTTTCAGTTTTCCCTCCTGCTCTCAGTTGTGGGCCACGCTTCAGTCCTTTTCCTGTCTCAGGTCCATGTCTCCAGCCCTGACCTCTCTCTAGACCTTCTTTCTCCCACTCGTGGTGTCCGTGTTCCTCAGCCCCTCCCGATGGGCCTCTGGTTCCTATACTCCTGTCTCCCTGATGGCTTCTCTGAATCCCTTATCAATAGCTTCTCTACTGCAGTCCCTCCTCAGCCCTGTGGCCGCCACCCTCGCAGAAGCAAACTCTGTTCCTCCACCCAGGACCCAACCACGCCAGCCCATCGCCTGGGGATCTGCTCACCCAGCTGCCTTCCAGACCTGCCCTCACTCCTCCCTGCAAATCCAGAGCCTGGCTGGCCGCTGCTGCCGCCCTGGGCTTCCCCCGTGCTGTCCCCTTCTCTTGGTCATCCACAGCTTTTCCTTCCTGTGTGTGATTTGTCTTTATGTAAGAACAAGAAGTAAGATTTTTCTGGGAGCTTCTGTTTCCAATGTCTTTTTCCTCATGCTGAGCTCTTGTGTGCCATGTTGTGGGCCATTGCTTCTCAGGTGCTCACCTGTCCCTGCTGCATGGTCAGCCTGTGGGGGATGACAGCTGTCATCTCCGACTCCACAGTGTCACCTGTAGGGCCCTGCCCGTGTGGGGAGGATTTTCATTACCTGCCCATTTGCAGGTGAATTTTATATCATGGGTAGAGTTATAAGTTTATACAGCAAGATAATTGGCTAGGGACTGGTGAACTGTCATTTCTGTTGAACATGAAAACCTGAAAGGCAGTAGTTCATCTTCTGAAGAAATGGCCCAAGAAAGAGCTTTCATAATTGGAAACTTAATATAAAATAATAGTTTGCATCAGGTGGCGTAGCATCTTTTTTTTTTTTTTTTTTTTTTGAGATAGGGTCTCATTCTGTGGCCCGTGCTGTAGTGCAGTGGCACAATCACGGCTCACTGCCTCACAGGTTCAAGTAATCCTCCCAAGTAGCTGAGACTACAGGTGCACGCCGCCATACCTGGCTAATTTTTGTATTTTTTGTAGAGATGGGGTCTTGCTGTGTTGCCCAGGCTGATATTGAACTCCTGGGCTCAAGCAATCTGCCCGTCTCGGTCTCCCAGAGTGCTGAGATTATGGGTATGAACCACTGCTCCCAGCCTCTTAGCACCCTGATGAAGAGCTTGTTCTTTACTAAATGTTGCTGATCCCCCCTCCCTTGATTTGTGGGAGGGGAGTGATTTGTCTGCTGCGTTGAGTTGTGCGCATTAAATGAATTCATAAAACACTGATGTGTTAGCACAATTCCTTTTCAATACATGACATCTTAATTTTTGTTCACCCACTGTAAAGGATGCCTCACACAGTTGTAGTAATGGGAACAAGAGCATTTCTGACCCTTAGCCTGAAAATCTAAAAGTGAAACTGACTTATGAGAGCATTTCAGTAGCCCAGAAAACACAGTGAACACCTACCATGCAGCGATTATAGTGGACCCTAGGGTTCCAGGGATGAATAAGACACTCTGTCCCAAAAGAACTCATCAAGGTAAACGAGAAGTTGTAGACAAGTTAGCGAAAGTGAAGAAAAGGGAAAATCTTAGGGGGAGGAGAGGGGAACTTTGTTTTAACAGAAGGAGACTTTCTTCAAAGTGCTTTTCCAAGACAGGAGAAAAATCCCCTGGAGCTTAAGTGCCTCCAGGAGTGTAGACAGCAAGTTACCAGCCTGCGAGGGGTCTGTTCAGTGGTCAGAACACCGTGCTCGTGAGACGAGAGTGGGTTCTACCCAGGTTATTCCTCTCTGTTCCATGGCCACGAACCATGTCGGCCCTTGACCCTGATTCAGCCCCAGCTCTGGCTCCTTGGACAGCCATCGCCCAGCATCATCTTGGTGCTTGGTCCCACTGATGGAGCAAGAGTGCCGTCTTTTCATAGCTGGAGGCCTGAAGAATCCAAGAACTACAGATATTGGGAAGATACTAAGTGGACTCACAGAAAGTAAACATTACAGGCCAGGCACAGTGGCTCACGCCTGTAATCCCTTGGGGAGCACTTTGGGAGGCCGAGAAGTGAGACAGGATTACTGGAGCTCAAGAATTCAAAACCAGCCTAGGTAACATAGATCTATCTCCACAAAGAACATTGTATTTTAAGTTTTTAATATAAAAATTATTTTAAAAATAAACATCACATTTATACTGTCACCTCTGCACAATCAGCCAAATCCAGTTTTCATATTTAAAACGAATGAGACACCTCCTCTCAGTGGGAAAGATGAACTGAAGCTTTACTCCCTCAATAGTGTTGGGAAAGGAAATTCGACAAAAATCTAAGGAAGGACCAAATATTGTACAGAGTGTGCCAATAGGCTGTTGCAACTGGACTGAAAATACCTGCCTTTTCTCTCCACAGGGGAAAGTGGAAGTGGAAGCTGGGAAAGAAGGTATGAAGTTTGAAGCAAGCGCCTTCTCATACTACGGCGTGATGGCCCTGACAGCCTCTCCAGGTACGTTTGGTTCTCAGCCGCATAGGGCAGGGCCACATGTTAGGAAGTAAGGCCCCTCTCCTGCCATCTTTCTGTATCTGCCAGCTGACCCATGCATTTCCTTTTTGAACATTTTTTTGAAGTATATCATATATGCAGAAAATCTGCACAAATCCTAAGTATACACACCTCCATGAATTCTCACAAACTGAACACATGTGTAAAGCGGCACCCAGATCAAGAGACAGGACGTTACCAGCCTTACAGAACTCCCATCGCACTCCCTTTTAGTCACTGGTCCCCCAGAGTAACAGCTGTCTTGACTTCTCAGTTAGCCTAATTTTGCCTGCTTTTGAAGTTTGCATAAATGGAGACACTGTGTGTGTTACACAGAGGCTGGCTCCTTTCTCTCAGTGTCATGCTTGTCACGTCACCTCTGTTGCTGTATGTGATCACACTCTTATTTCCTCTTGCCATGTCTAGTATGCCACTATATGAATACACAGCAGTGCACGTGTCCTTTCATTGCTGATAGACATTGGGGTAGTCCTGTCTGGGGCTACTATGAATATGTGGCTTGGAACATTCTTGTACATGTCTTTGGGTGAATGTGTTTGTCCATTTCTGCTGGGTGTGCACCTGGGACTGGCACTACGGGTCAGAGGGTGTGCCTCCGGATTCAGCTCTTATGTACCCGCTTACCCCCAACCTGTGCTGTGTGAATTCCGGTTGCTCTGTATCCAGCACTTGATATTGTTGAGTCTGTTAAATGTTAGCAGTTTGGGAGGTCTTAATTTGCATGTTTCTGAGGATGAATGAGGTTGTTCCTATATACTGACTGCCTGTGGTGGCCGGCTCTTGTCTGGAGAACTGGCCAGTTGAGTCAGCCAGTTAAGGGTGAGTGGCCATGGGATTGACTAAGTTCTCTGAGCACAAGATTCCAAGATGCCAGCCAGCCAGATGTTCCCTCAGACATGAACACAGATAACCTGGTGGCTTGCTGGCCGCTGGGGATGGCACTGCTTGGCAGAGTGCACACGCTTGCTATTAACACCTTAGGCAGCCCGAACAGGTCGGGCAGGTCGACAGAGGTGCTGGAGTGCCACCTTGTGGCAAAAACACCAAATGATGTGTAGTTTTAGGAAACCTCATTTACAAACCTCAAACCTAAAAATAACCCATTTTAAAAGAATTCCTGAAAGCCAGGCTTCAAAGGGAAGTTTTTGTGACGTTGGTCTTCATCGACTGCTCTACCCAATAGTCTGAGGAACCCAAAGATGTTTTGGTTAGAAAGTCACTGAGACGTCAAGAATTCTATCGCATTTCTAAACTTCCTCTGTCCCAAACACCCCTTCTCACTATCCTGGTGCAGGTGTTTGAGTCCTGGGGGCACAGTGTTCCCACTGTCAACTGCTGACCAACACCCATACGCATTGTGAACATAGGCCTGTCTGACCCTACTTAATGAGTAGGTTTCTGTCGTAAACTTGAAGGTGACCTTCATTTTCACTGCTTAGTGACAGAGATGGGGTAGCTCTTACCTAGGCATGAGAAGACTTGGGTTGTGTAGCTTCAGCTACATCACAGGCAGGTCGTGTGATGTTGAGCGAGGCTCTTGGTCTCCGCCTTAAGAGGATATAATGATACCAGCTCATGTGATTATTAGAAGACTAGGATGCAGTGATCCTCACACAAGTGCCTTTTCCGCTTGAAAACACGAGGGGAAATGTGGGTATAGCAGAAAGGTGCCATGACTGTGACGAGTTTTGGCAGCTGATCTCGAATTAGCCCCAGGTGAGCAGAACCAGATTTATAAGATGACTTTGAAAAGAAACTAGGAGTGGGTTGTACATTTCTACCAATTACTGGTTCTGAAACATAAATATCAGCCCAGTTTCTGTTGAACTGTAATGGAAGGACAAGTCTCATTCAGAAGAGGATGTGGTGAGCAGCCCTCTGAGTCTGGAACTGCTAAGAAGGAAGGGGAAATCACTTGAGGTCAGGAGTTCGAGACCAGCCTGGTCAACGTGGTGAAACCCCATCTCTACTAAAAATACAGAAATTAGCCAGGTGTGGTGGCACATGCCTGTAGTCCCAGCTACTCGGGAGGCTGAGGCAGGAGAATCGCTTGAGCCTGGGAGGTGGAGGTTGCAGTGAGCCCAGAGCATGCCACTTTACTCCAGCCCCGGTGACAGAGTGAGACTCCATCTCAAAATAAAAAAGCGGGAGGAATTTCATTAATGGCATCTTATCTATTCCAAAGCCTAGTATTGTACTTAACTTTATGCTAAGATTTGGGATTTTGTATATTCATTGAGAAGCACAGTTAGTAGACATATCAAGGTAAAGTTTCTGTTTATTGATGTTCGCCGTCTGGGGAAAGCCTGCAATAATCAGTTCTTAAGAACTGCCTGCCCCAGAGGCGTGATTCCTGCTCAACATTTCAGGTTCTGAGACTTTTCAGTCTGATGGGGTGGTGAGAAGCGGTGATGAGGCTGACTCTGGTCTGCATTCCCAGGAAATCTGTGTATGCGTTCTTTACTTACTTTCCTCTATTTTGAGATTTGAAAGCATTCCTAACAATTCAGAGCTTCAGGTCAAAATTAAAATGAGCTAAAGTTGCACATATGAGAAGCTGTAGGCTGTGCAGTGAGTGAGTATTGGGGTGTAGGCACCAGCAGTTTGGGTCAGGTTCTTAGGGCAGTTGACTAATTGAGCTCCCCTTTTGTGCAGCTACTAGTGATTTAAGCCCTTAAGAGTCGCACCTTTTGAGCTATCAACCCCAATTAGTTATTATTGGCTTAAGAGATTTCGTGGTTAGTAACAAGCCCATGGGTAGGATTTCTCCTGGTCTTGGCCTCCCCGTATTCCTCTTCCTGGAAAGCAGTGTGTGCTGTTCTGTTTCTATACCGTACCGACTTGCATTTCTGCTACTGAATGCGCATATTGTATTGGTAGAACAAGTATCCCCTCCTGTCCCTTGACTACAGAGATCTCTTTTCTTGCCTTTTGATGTGATCTCACCCTGTTTTTCTCCATTTTTCAGTTCCTTTGTCCCTGTCTCGTACCTTTGTTGTCAGCAGAACAGAGTTGTTAGCAGCAGGTTCTCCAGGTAATTCTGCATGCTTCCTTTCCGTAATTCTCCCGATTGCCTCCCCTGCCCCCCATCACGCCTGGCTGGCTGGGTCTGCTCCCTTTACCTGGACAGGCTGTTTTCGTGTTCCTTGGAGCGCTAAAGCTCTAAGGTTCTGTAACTTTATAGCGAGCTCTCCAGGAAAGCATAAGCCGCAGCAGGTAGAGAGTCCAGAACACCGCAAAGTCGCCATGCACACAGTAGCCACGAAGCATGGAAAGGGAGGGCTGCTCTGGTGTGGATTGTTAGTGCTCCCTGCCCGCGCGGCTGACCTGGAATTTTCAGGTCAGCAGTAGGGGACTGTTCTTGGTTCTTATTCTGACCTCAGCAAGTCATGGTGCGTGGAGTTTGCAGAGGCCCTGAGGGCCTCAAACCCTGAGGCCGCTTTTATAGAGCCCATTTGCCAAAGGCCTGAGACCTGTAAACTCTTCTTGGTAAGCAAGAAAAATACCCCATCCACACAGGTGCACGACATTCCTGTCTCCTGGGTTCTTCCCACATCTGTGTGAGCGGAGCGTGAGCGCCTCTGCTGTCCCCCAGGCAGGCGGCCCTGCTTCTCCCCGCCACCTGACTTTGTTTTGGAGTGAACACCCAGCACATTCCTATCCCGCTGCTGCCGACTGCCCTGCAGGAGAGGGTGGCTGGGCCTAGCTAATACGTCCAGCCATTAAAAAGAAGGGAAAAGGCTTAATCTGTCTTTAATTAAAATTGCTGGGATTTCCTAGTTGGTAACACAACTTTCCTATATTTATCTTCAGAGTTTTTTCCATAATTACTATACTGTCATAAAACTTTGGAACATAAATTTGGCCACAAAACCTGACCTGAACTGGGGGTCAGTCACTACGGTTCTCGCTGTACTTGTTGTGAATCCTCGTCTGTCTCACCAAAAGTTAATGTGTTTGCAGACGAGGGCCGCCCCAGAATTACTGGGTGGTGTGTGTAACATGGGGTGTACAGACTGTATCACCTTCCAGAATTCAAACATCTCCGGCCCGCAAGGGCTTCAGATGAAGAATGTGGACCTTTATTATTACTATTTTAAGTAAGATGGCATTTGAGGCTCTGAGCAGTGGGCTGAAGCTCAGGGTTGCAGCACCCCTGCTCGCACTGGCGCCCGTCGAGCTGTGGAAGGGGACCCAGAAGGCAGGGCCTGCTCCTCCAGAGGGTGGCCATGGAGCCAGGCAGCAGGCTTTTGGCAAAGGAGAGGATCCACTCACACAAACGGGGCAGTGGGGTGAGAGGAAGCAGACTGAGTCTGGATGCTTTGGAAGATCAGAGAAATCGCCCTAAAATCCTCCTCAGGAGAGAACAGGAGACTCAAAAGTACTGCAGGAGACCTCAGACAAGCAAAGTACCTTGAAATGTTTTGTTTTTATAGCCTTCAAATGTTAACACAAACTGTTTCAAAGGCGTCTGTAGAAATGGTGATGAGATAGGTGGCCAAAGCACAGGGATACAGTAGGATCTCATTTCCAAAAAAACGGACTAATCTGTCACCCTGCGTGAAGTCACTGCATGTGCAAAGGCTTGGTCATGGGGTGGGCGCATGGTGGCAAGGTCCGAGAGGAAGCTGACAAGAAAGAATAGAAAATGCCAACTGGGCTCACTTACGGGGTACCTACTCTACTAATGTCAGACAAGCTGTACATTATCTTATTTTTAACCCTTGTCAGACCTTATAAGATGGGTACCAGGGCTGGGCACGGCACTCACGCCTATAATCCCAGCACTTTGGGAGGCTGAGGCGGGTGGATCACCTGAGGTCAGGATTTCAAGACCAGCTTGGTCAACACAGTGAAACCCTGTCTCTACTAAAAATACAAAAATTAACTGGGCATGGTGGTACACGCCTGTAATCCCAGCTACTCGGGAGGCTGAGGCAAGAGAATCGCTTGAACCTAGGAGGCGGAGGTTGCAGTGAGCCAAGATTGCACCACTGCACTCCAGCCTGGGTGACAAGAGCGAGACTGTCTCAAAAAAAAAAAAAAAAAAAAAGTCCACGTTTTACAGATAAAGAATCTGAAACTTAGCAAAATTGGGTCACCTATTCAAAGATCCATTCTGCTAAATATAAAAGTCTGATAAATTGTTAATTTGCCTTGTTCTCGTAGAAATGGAAACAAGGGGAACTGCCACTCTGAATTTAATTTGTCTAACAATGGAAAATTAGTTCATAAATTGACAATTGGAGGGAGAGTTAAGATACAAAAATTTTAGGAGAAAGTGACTGGGCGCAGTGGCTCACGCCTATAATCCCAGCACTTTGGGAGGCTGAGGCAGCCAGATCACTTGAGCTCAGGAGTTCAAGACCAGGCTGGGCAACATGGCAAAACTCCATCTCTACCAAAAATGTAAAAATTAGCTGGGCATGGTGGCACACACCTATAGTCCCAGCTACTCAGGAGGCTGAGGCAGGAGAATCCCCTGAGCCCAGGAGGTTGAGGCTACAGTGAGCCAAGATCACACTACTGCATTCCAGCCTGGGTGACAAAGCAAGACCCTGTCTCAAAAAAAAAAAAATTAAGAGAAAGCGAACTCATCACCGGAGATTCTTGGAGTACTTACGTTTTGTTCTGAGTGTCCTGTTTTAAGATGGCAATGGGGTAAGATGAACAGCTGCAGGATTTATCCTGCAGAAGAGACTTAAGTAGACCATTGCTCTCTCCACCTATCTAAGGGCTATTTTGAATAGCAGAGGAAGAAAAGGCACTAAAGCTCCACACAGAGGAAGCGAGGCTATCATTTGAAGTTAGGGAGGCACGTTTTGATGGGCGCGATGACAAACTTTCCCGATAGCCAAAGGGCAGGTGCAGCCAAGGGCCAGCTCCTCCGAGGGACACATTGCAAAGAGGAGCCAAGCGTCAGATGGGAGAATTGGTCCCCTCCAGTCCTGTGATAGGATGCAATTCAAGACCTGGCCAGGGTGGGTGCGCAGTTCCTATCTGCAATAGTTGGTTAGAAAAGTAAAAAGTGAAAGAAGCCTTGGTGAAGGGGCATTTTTTAATGACATTTCTATTAGAAGCCACAGTGAACTTCCCTTTAAGAGCAACAACACCCAGACTGGAGCGCCTTCCACTGTGTTTTAAGGGAGGGATGCTACAGAACCTCACTGAAGACTAGAGCGCCTAAGATAACTTATGCAAACACTCGTTAGGGGTTTGGGTTTGGTGTCTTCTAGTGTTCTTAAATTCCTGCGACATCCTCGGGCTCCCTGATGGGGGATTTTAATGGGGTCAGAGATGAAGATAATAGGTTCAGCTAGAGGGTATGGTATGAGCAGACAAGTATTTTGATCCCTTTATAATACCTACTGATTTAATATTCTCAAGAGTCCCTTGTTTTTACTTCCGGCAAAATAATGAAGTGCTGTCCTCTTGTGGCCTGTGTTTGATACCAAGCAGCTTCCGCATGTTGGGCCTTGGCCCGTCCTCGCCTGAGCATCTCACAGCACCCAGGAACGTTCCTCACGAAGGCACACAGTGCAGGGTCTTTGCTGTTAGAGACGTGGGAGGATTGTGTCTGTCACATACCCAGGGCCAAGCAGCTGAGATGGGCATATTCTGCTGGTACAGGGAAGCCCACGAGTCTGCCATATGTAGGAGACCCTCTGGCGTACTGTGCGGCCGAGACATCTGGAATCAGTTGGCTGGGCTTGTGTGGCATTTAGTATTTTTTATTTTGGAAAATAAAGAGCTGGTTTTATTGGCTGTATCTACTTCACTTAAACAGTTGGATTTTTCCCTCCTTTTCCAGGTGAAAATAAGTCCCCTCCTCGCCCATGTGGCTTGAATCACTCAGACTCCCTCAGTCGAAGCGACCGGATTGACGCCGTCACACCAACACTGGGGAGCAGCAATAACCAGCTCAATTCTTCGCTCCTTCAAGTCTATATCCCCGATTACTCGGTGCGAGCCCTTTCGGATCTGCAGTTTGTTAAGGTGAGAGACGTGAGTGCAGCATGGCTGGACCTGGCAGTTACGTGTCAACTTCCCTGGCAAATTGTCCGTTTTGCCCCTTGCCCTCCTCGGAGCTCTCCCTTTGTCACTCTGTGGTGCCCTGCCTTCCATTCTCAACTACAAACCCTGTCTTCATCTGTTGTGCCCAAGCCTCAGGTTGAGAAAAACGTTGATCTTCTTGGTTCTATCCAATGAGCTGCCAAATGAAATGTAGCTCTTTCGGGGAATGGGAGCCAGAGATCCTGGAAAATAGAGTAGCCCCTTTTCAAAGAGCTCCTGGGTGCGTGGCTCCCTGCCTGGCCCTGGGAAGGCTGAGGTCAGGAGACTCGGGAGGGTCTCGGCGAAAGCTCCAGCTCTGTCTTCTGCCCGGCAGTCAGGGTACTTACCTTGGTCTGAAATAAAGATGACTTTTGGAGAACAAACCAGCTTTAGCTGGGGGAAACCAGTTTCTGTTTTCTAGTCCCTAAAAGTTTGAGGCTATATTTGGAAGTGGGTTACATCAGTAAGAACTGACTTGTTCACCAAAGTCAACTTGACCTTTGAAAAGTGGCTCACTGCACCCAAGTGTGATTTTTCTCCTAGAGAGGCTGCTGTGGGCCTGTCAGGGGATTGAACATGTGGAGATAAGAAAACCTAAAAATAAGCATTATCTTGGTTTGTTTTCTGTGCCATCTTCTGGCCCCAGATCTCAAGACAGCAATACCAAAATGCCTTGATGGCATCCCGGATGGACAAAACCCCTCAGTCTTCAGACAGTGAAAACACTAAAATTGAATTGACTCTTACGGAGCTGCATGACGGGTTGCCAGACGAGACAGCCAACCTGCTCAACGAACAGAACTGTGTGACGCACAGTAAGGCCAACCACAGCCTGCACAACGAAGGCGCCATCTAGGCCGCACTGGCTGCACCCGCCCAGGCCTGCACCCACCCACGCCCGAGGGCCCGGCCCCGTCTGCCCATGACTTCACTGGTGTGAGCTTGTCCGCCATGCTGCACCCTGCAACATCCTGAGACCAAAGACCTTGTGCCCTTCCCAGGAGCCGCGGAGGAGGACGGTGAGGGGAGGAATGGAAACTAGAAATATGAAGTTGGCGGCCGGGGCATGGCGTTCAAGATTTTGGAGATGAACTGATTCCGCCCAAATAGAATCATGTTTATTTTTTCAGCTCTCCCCTTCATCGTTATTCACGCTCTCTGCCCTCGATTTGCATGAAGTTGAAAATTGTCGCGATTTATTTTTTCAAGAGATCATGTTTTTAAAGTGTCTTTTGCAGAGTTTTAAGTTGTTCTGTCTGAACTCTGCTGTGATCCCATGATGTGACCCTAATAGGCTGGACTTGCCCCTCCGGTAGCCTTCCTTGGCCCTCCCAGGGAGGAGCACCCTTCCTCTGTGCCCCAGTGGGCATCACTGTCGAACTCGCTGGCTGAATGAAGAAGACCGTGTTACTGCAGAACCTGCCAAGTGTGTCATCACTGTGGGGTGTAGCCTGCCTCAGAGGGACCTGCAGTCGCCTCTCTGAGCTCAGTGGTATTTTGAGAAGTTAATGTTTAATTGTACCCCTTTCCCTCAGGAAGATTTAACATTTGCTTGGGAATGTGATTTTGCTCCCACCCTAAGGAATTTTTATCACCAAAATGAATATTAATGAATTTAAAACCCATGGTTCATCATTGGCAAGAGGCAAGTTGACTTCATCCTGTCATTCCAGCCTGGGGTCTCCCAGCCAGCCCTCCTCCCTGACCCAGTGCCCAAGCTCACAGAGTGTCGCCGCCCACCTCCCTGGTCCTTGCTCTTGTTAACCCAAGATGCTGCTACACAGATGCCAAATGGAAATCTTCCACGGGGCTGTTCAGTAAACACGTGATGTGGAGTGCAAGCTCCTCCCCTTCCCGCTAGGACATACATTAACAGAAAAGGAGTCGGACCTTCTAGCTGCACTCTACTGTGTGCTGGGAAGGCATTTCTAGACCCATGTTTTTAAAGGAGGGAACTTTGGGGATTGCCAGCCCCTGCTCCTCCTCCCAGGGAGCCAACTGTCCCTCCTCCCCTGTCCCTGGGCCCATGGGGCCCGGCAGAGTGGCTGTGTCCCCTGCCTGAGGGCCTCTGCCTCCTCCCTCAGATGCGGCCCATGCCAGAGAGGCTGCCTGTACAGCCAGGGTCAGTTTGGCCCCAAACAGGGATTCAGAAACCAAATGCGTGTTGTGGCCATTTTATGTGTGTCTCCGTCTTATTTTAATACCAAATTCATCATGTAGTGAAATTATGTCAGGAGGTATTTGAGTGACTGAATTCTTAACTATAGCTTATCTGTGTTTTGTTAGCCTGAGGGATATGTGCAGGTTGTTGGCGCTATTCATACACTGAAATGAAATCATACTGACCAGTGTACACACGAGATGATCAGTCCTCGCCGCATCCATCACTAGGAAAGGAGAGAGCGTTTTCTGCTTAGGCTCACTGCGCGGAGGGAGGCCTTGGCTAAGCAGCAGTATTCTCCTCCCTACTCCAGGTAGGAAGTCTGTTCAGCCACGGCTGGGCTGTGTGCAGGGCAGGGAACGTGGCTGAGGAGCAGACAGCAGCGGGCAGCCTGGTGAGCTGTTCGGTGCCTCACGTGTCGTGCATGCCCGGCTTAGTATTTCCTCTGGGATGTCAGTCCTGGAGTGTCTTCCTCAGAAGGTGCCATGCCCCTTAGTAGGGGGAAGTACTGATCTCACTTGGTGTAGAGGGTGCTGAGTGGCCTGCTACTGGCATGCAACCTGCCCCCGTGGGGTGAAGCCCCACTGTGTAGCTTGACCTTAGAGGGGAGCCCACTCGAAGCATCCTTTTTTTAAACAGAGCCATCCAAATATAAAAGTCAGTTTCTTAAGATGCCTGTCCCTGAGCACAGCACCAGTGTGATGAGTGTCTAAAGATGAGGAGTCCCTGCAACAGAGCGAAGCCTGGCTCATGCTGGGGGAGGGTGTCTGTGCCCCGCTTCGGGCCTGCGCAGTGCTGGCCTTCCCTGAGCGGTGGGGAGTCAGGCCTGCCTAGCCCAGCTTCTCTGGCCTCAGGAGCTCCGCCCTGTCAACCTGCCCGGACTCACATCTGCTTCTCCACACAGTCTGTCTCAGGGATGCCTTGCTACTGGGAGAGCCTCTGGAATCAGAGCTAGTGTGTTGGTGCCCTTTTCAGAGCTCTGCTGTTCCTTTATGAATCCTAAAGCACAGTCTGGGAAGAGGAGAGGGGATGCCAGCTGCTGCCTCTGACTTGAGGGAGAAGCAGACTTCTTCATACTGTCTTACCTGCTCGGCGTGATGGCTTCTGGCAAATTATTCTCTTATAAAAGAGCTCGGCAGGAGCGGCTCATCAGTGGGGCTCCCAAAGTTTGAAATTTTAACTGCCAAGTTCGTATTCGTTTTCTGTTATTCTTTACCTTCTATTAGTCACACTATTTGATAACATTAAGGAATCTAAAATCCTGTCAGATTTTAACATCTCTGACAGGAATGAAGGTTAACATCTCTGGGGAGAGCATAGGACCCTTCAAACAACACTCATCTCTGAGCAACCAGATTCCTCTTCCAGGCCCCACTTTCCCTCAGGAAACCAACCTTTCGGATGGTTGGAGGAGAAACGCTGGGCTCTTGCTTGTCTGGGGCAGCAGGAGAAGGACTTTGGCTTGGAAGGCCTCTGCCGTTCATCTCTACAAAGCCAGTGGGGTCCGGCAGAGAAGGGCCGGGGAATAGCTGCAGTCTCGACGTGGCTGCTTTTTGGCACCTCTGCTGGACTGCCCTCCCATGGCTGCGACCTTTCCAAGTGTGGAAAGGAGTGGGTCAAGTGGACCAGATGCAGACCCCTGGATACTGACAGGAGGCCTCACCCTCCTTTACGGGGTCTCTCCGGGTGGGACGGGGCCTCCCCTCCTCCTGAGCAGCCACTGGTGCCCCGTGGTTCCGCTGGAACTAAATCCCTAGCATCCAGATGGTCCTGGGACGCCCTGCCTTCTCTGTAAAGGAGGAGGGCTTTTCTCCTGCTGTCTTGGAGGTTCCTTCCCTTCACTGCTTGTCCCGTATGCATCAGGCAAATTCAAACTCATACATTTAAACTCTTAGGAAAACAAAATCTTAAGACTTACACAGATATTGGGGTGCTAATCAACTAGCTTAAATCTTGGTTCTTACATATTTTGAACTTGAAAGGGTACATTGAACTCTGTTCTTTCTTCCCTCCTCACCTCACTCCCTGCAGGGAGTTAAATGCCATGTTGAAGCGGTTGGCATCCCCAAGTGGGAGGGAGTGGGGCAGCTTACCATCTTCTAATGTGACTTCAAGGAACAATGCAGATGTTGAATGCAGAGCTCCACACTAATATGGAACAATAACTGTGAGTATATTTACCTGTGCTGTCCTCAGCACTGTACACTAAAGGACCAGCTTTTCCAAGCCTAGGAAAATAATGGTAGATACAAATAGAAATACATTTTCCCTAGGAAATGGAGCAATAGGAATTTGAGCTAAGCAGGAACCATGAACTTCTGCCCTCAAATTCTGTCTTCGGGTTGAGCAGACCTGTGTAGGCCCTGGCTGATCAAGCCTGTGTCCTGCCTAGTGAAAACACAACCCCGCTGTCATCTGAAAGCCAGCCGGGGATCTGTAGCCATCCTCGCCTTCCCTAGGCCCAGGAACGTGAGGGCTCCTGGGCAACCAGGCTTGTCCCTGTTGTTCCCCAGGGGTGATCTAGGCCGATGACTCACCTGGCTGGCACATGAAGGTGCTCACCTTGTTCTCTGGGGCTCCAAGCAAGAGCAGGCCAGGGAGGGCTGGCTTTCCACACTGCATTACATGACCCGAGCTCCCTGGTGGCATGGGAAAAACTCCCCTCTGCTTTTGAGCCCAGAATGGGCTTTTCTTTGCAAAGAGTTGAGGAGAAATACAAGACTGAGCTGGCAGGTTAGGGTCTGGGAGGCCTCTGAGGTACCATTGCTTACTTCTTTACTGAGGAAACTGGCTCTTGTCCTGGGCCATGTAGTTCCATTCTGGGCTCTAGACTAGTGGTGCTTCTGTCCATCAAGGGTATCTGGGTGAGGTGTAGGTTAACCCAGAATTAGTAGGGATATAGGGGTTTGAATAGGAAAGTGATTTGGGGATTCAGAAATTTTTCTGATGTAATTTATCAATGAGCAACTTCTCAGTTGAGTTTTATACCTCAGGGTCATTTGCAAATCTTTTATCTTTTCCTATTTCTTAGGTGTTCAAGTTGGTTAATAGGAGAGAGATGTTCAGAGACTTCTAAGTTGAGGTTCATTTGCCTCCATTTGAGGGGTGAGTGGTGCACCAATAGCTTGCTGCTATTACTCAGCAAGGCTGTGACAAGCCGGCCTTCCTCCTCTAGCACTTGCAAGCTTTCTGTCTGCAATCACGGTTTACTTGCCCATTTCCCTTTTGCTACCTTCTTTCCTGTCTGGAGATTCATATTCCAGAGTCCCTGGTCAACCCTACGGACGCAAAGAGGAGACGGCAGTTCACAGCAACTGCATAGAGCAGGGAGCAGCTTTCCTCCCACCATCCTAGGCAGGGGACCTTCTTTGCTTCTCAGACCTGAGCTCAAGTAAGCATGTTCTGTCTGTATGCTAGAGCCACTGACATCATCTCTACTAGAATTGTTTTAAGTATCTTTTAATGGGAAATACCAGGTTGAACTTCAAGCAGCAGGGAAACAAAGGTTCTAGCTGCAAGAGAATAAAGTTCTAGGTGTTTGTATGCCGAGGTTTTTATGTACACAGATCTAATACATACTGTAAGAAAGTCTTGAGTACACAAGGTTTTCAGGTTTTAATGCCCATTGGGACCATGAACAAATGAGAATGACTGGGAGCATTGTCTTGCGTCGCTTGGAAGGATGCCTTCTGGCATGCACCCACATCTGATCCACATGGATTCACTTTTAGGATGCAATTCTTTGGGGGGCCAGATTCCGCTGCAGATTCACCCTGAAGAGAACTATCCAATGGGCCTGGTGGGGCTTGGGTGCCTGCCCTTTTTGTTGGAGGCTCAGGCTTCAGAGCAGAGCAAAGTTGGGAAGAATAAGGTCTTAGGATTCTCATTCCCCAGAGAGCCCCAGCCTCGCTTCTGATTCATTACTCCCCAAGTCTGAAGTCTACTGTGAAGGTGAAGTTATCAATTTTTTCTTGTTTCTTGAGTTCTTTAAACCCACAAATGTATATGCTTTATTTTATATTATTTATTATGTACATATGCCTGTTAGTACTTCATCTGTGACTAGGACAAGATCTGTCTTGAAGCTTCCTCATCCATGGATCCTAGGGTTCTGCTGTCCTTTAAGGCGGGTGAGAGGGTAGTGTTGTTTTTTATAAACAGGTTGCTGCCTTTATGTTGGCCCTAGCATCCCCAGCCCCTTTAGTTGGGCCCACCTGTATTCCTGATGACAAGTGTTTTGGATGAGGATGGAGGCAGGTCTCCGACCTTGTGGGCAGGGCCTCTCAAGTACCTCCATGAACTATTCCCGAGGTGGTTTATTGGTGACAGGCTCTCTTCCCCTATGTAGGGTACAGTACAGCTGTGAGTCCATGGCCTCCTTCCTCCCAAGGCAGGTCACTTGCCTGGCCCCACAATGATAATGGTTCTTCTACTTACCTTGAATTGCATAATCCATCTTTCTGGATAATGGAAGCTGCCTGCCCATCTGGGCTCTTAATATGCCTTTTCTTGGTTTTGAGGCCCAGTGCCAACATTGACTTGGCCCTCAAGTAAGACCCTGCTTTGTGTCTGACTTCCATCCTCCTCAGCCTTTATTCACTGTATCATAGTGTACAGGTCATGCATTTGAGCAGTGAAGTTTTCTGAACACAGTATTCAGAGCTGTGTACATAAACCCAAATAAGCACAAATGACATGTATAGGATTGATGAGCTGATTGTCATAATGAATGCATTTTATAATTCAAATGATGTTGTAGATGTACAGTCTCTCCTATTTATTTTGTACCAATTTATTTGTAAATTTTGTGATTGTTTTACAAGGTTTTTGTTTATTTCTATTCTATTTAGATAAATGATGTTCTGTTCACCCTTCTAGCAGATGTGTGTTCCCTCTTCCCTTTCATCTATGCAACACCAACCATGCCATTGTGTTCAGCTTGGCTGAACCCACTGCCCTGCCCACTTGCCTGGCTTTGCTGGTGGGAAAGCTGGGACTGGATCTCAGCATGACAACG